TCCAGAAGTTTGCAAGCAAAGTTACGTCTACTTTCAGAAAAACAAATTTTGCATGTCACTAAAACTAATCAAAGAGATAATATTTTGATAGCCATCAAATATGTTTTCTATTTTTAAAACGATGACACCTAAAGCTAAATTACATTTAAATCACCGATTCATTTTAGGAATCCTTTCTGGATTGGGGAACACAAAAAGGGATGTTCAGATTTATATCAATTAATTGAAATAAATAAATTTAGAACATTTTTTAATCATCTGGCTTGTGTAAACACTTGTATCTTAAAATTGCAGAACGTTTTTTTTTATTTCTTTGATTAGCATAATCAAAAATCTTGCAACACTCTAAAGCAGGAGTTAAATACATTTGTAACTCTAGGGCCTTGTAAGACTTTTAATTCATTTCGAATTGCTTCTGGTGTGACTTCAAAACTTGTTTCAAGTGAACAATTCAGATCCTTTGTAAGATTCATCTACCCCTGGCAATTTCCTGGGTTGGGGGAAACAAAAGGATGTTAGAAAAAGAATAAAAATCAAATGCACACAGAGTGAAAAGAGGATACGAAAAACTGATACCAGTTGAGCATTGCTCACCAGTTGGCATCTGTCCTGAACGTATTACTTTTGAACAGGGGTAGTCAACCTTGGCTCTTTTATGACTCGTGGACTTCAACTCCCAGAATTCCTGAGCCAGCATGGCTGGCTCAGGAATTCTGGGAGTTGAAGTCCACGAGTCATAAAAGAGCCAAGGTTGACTACCCCTGCTTTTGAAAGATTGTAGGCCTCAACATTAAAATATTACCCATCCCTTCCACAAAAGCTCTTTCAAACTAATCTGTTCATCCTTATGCCGACTCAAGATCATTTAAAGTAGGAACAAAGGACCATAGCTATTTATTAATAAATATGTACCTTATAAAAGGCAGATCAAACAAAAATCACAGCCTAATAAAAATATCTATTTCATTCTGAAAGGTGAGATGGTCACAAAGTGTGTCAGCTTTTCTCTTTCGGATCAATTCATGGAAAAATACAAAGATCCTGGGAATCATAATAGTGGCATTGATCTGAACCGAACCTGTGAGTATTTTTGGTTTATTTATTGGAAACAAATAGCATAAATGTTTTTTCTCTCGCAAAGGTAAATGGCAAAGTAGGCTTCCACCAATGAATATATGTAGAATTGCATAGTCTGATATTTTCTAAAATGGACAAAATGTAGGAAGATTACTAAATCTCATAAATCTCTTAGCAATCTCACTTTTACGATTTTAGTCACATAAGAATGATAGACTAAAGATAGAAATGACTAAAATCCCATAAGATTTTAATATCTTTTTCTAAAAGATCTAGGCTTATTTTTACATTTCAGAAAAAAATATTTACTTTGAATTCTTTTTAATGATATCTGAAGAGGTTGTAGGTGTTATGAGATACATAGTAGTTTTGTAATTAGGGGTTAAGAATTTCAGAAATGTCATTTTATTTAGTATTTTAGTGCAAAATAAGGCTAGAGTTTTGAAACTCTTGTCAAGAAAATGACACTTTGTACTAGCAATTCTGATAAGAGCAAGCAGAAAGAGCTCCTTACAACGGTAGCTTGCTGGTCTAGCTTCCCTGTCCTTTCTGAAAGAGATGGGTGAAAGGGTATTGCTGCTTCAAATAACTCTGTGAGTGCTTCAGGGTTTAAGATTTAGGGTGGGAACCAATGGTGGGATTCAAATATGTGAACAACCAGTTCTCTGTGTGGATGCCGCTTCCAGAAGTCCATTCTGGGTCTGGACAACAAAAAATTAGCTACCGGTTCTGCCGAAGTGGTCCGAACTGGCTGACTGGGAACATAGATTTCACGTGAGGCTGAATGAGCAGGAAGGATAGCTTGGAAGGCCAGAAGTCTTACATCGCTGTCTTATATCAAATAGTGGCATAGCCTAATGATTTTCATTTGTCCATTTTTTTTAGATCTCTGGCGCTTGCAGTTTCTCTTGCCTTTTGTCAGTTTAGGACTTATGTGCTTTGGAGCACTTATTGGAGTCTGTGCTTGTGCTTGCCACAGTCTCTATCCTGCCATCGCCACTGGAGTTCTCCACTTCCTAGCTGGTGAGTCATCTTGAGGAACATCATCTGCTTGACACATGGATGCCGTAATAATACAAGGCAAGTATTTCTTGCTCTGATCTAACTGTTGTTTGCTGATTTTTCACCAGGTTTGTGCACACTGGGTTCAGTTGGCTGCTATGTAGCTGGAATTGAGCTGCTCCATAAGAAACTACCTCCTCCTCCAGTGCAAGGCCAATTTGGCTGGTCCTTCTGTCTGGCTTGTGTGTCAGCACCTCTGCAGTTCATGGCTGCTGCCCTTTTCATCTGGGCTGCACGCACAAACAGGAAAGAATTCACACTTTTGAAAGCATACCGAGTGGCATAATAAGATCCTCATTTGTTCTCAAGTCTCTTATTTTCATACTTTTTTTTTAATCACCTTGCTGTTTTTACTAGTTATTTATCTGTTTCAGAGGATGCATGCTTCTAATTACATTTATTGAAATGGCTTCGAATGGAAGAGACTTAGAGACCAGATTATGAGGAATTGCCTTTTTCTTGCCAGAGATCTATAAGATTCCAACACATTTTTAAAATACATCTGACGTACTTACATTTTCACATCTAAACTTCATCTGCAAAGCAAAGATAGGATCCTTAAGGGGATGAAAGGTCTTGATGAAATTAAAATGGATAGAATGTGTATCGCATATGCCAGGACCACATTTTTCAAAGGTTGAAGGTTGTGATATAATTTTGTTCCCATCTTCAGATCTATTACTATGTCTGTTTCAATCTATTTGGTCCAGATTATTATAAAATGGTTGACAACTATGGAATTTTTAAATCTTGTGAAATAATTATCAAGATTGTGTGTGTGTTTCTCCCTCTCTTGTAATAGAGGCATCCATAACAAGTTTTACTTTCTAATTTGACAAATATATCTGTATATAAATCTGACTTTTTAATATTTTATTTAGGCAATACTACATTTTGTAGAATTATTATTCATGTCATCTAAATGAACAATATTGTTTTAAGAAAATAAACCTGAATTAAGACTCATTAATTTTACTGGAGTTGTATGTGACTGATAATAGAAGAAAATACATGTGATATAACAGTTCGTTTTAATGCACTTAACTAAAATCTTGACATCCATCCTCTTCTTTTCAAATCACAAGATATATAAAGGGGAAAAATGAAGAGTGCATTGATTTCACTTCAAATTAGAAAGCCAAATTAAGAAGAAAAGATACATATTCAGTAAGAAAATTTATACAGTGCTTCCAACTTGACATTATCAATATTTGTATCAGAATCCTTACAAATAAATAGCTACATTTAGGATGTATCATGCAAAGACTGTGTCCAGCCTTGCAACTTCAAATTAAAATATCTTTTTCTTCTTTTATGCTGAGGGCATAAAACATGTATGTATGTGCAATAAAGTTTTTTTAAAAATACGGTGTGGGAGAAGGAAGATGTGAAATTATTACTGAAGAATTAAAAAATGTTAGACAGAATAACAGTTGAAAGGGACCTTGGAGGTCTTCTAGTGCAACCCGCTGCTCAGGCAGGAAACTCTATACCATATCAAACAAATGGTTATCCAATCTCTTCTTAAAAACTTTCACTGTTGGAGCATTCACAACTTCTAGAGGCAGCTTCTTTTACTGATTAATTGTTCTGTCAGGAAATTTCTCCTTAGTTCTAGGTTGCTTCTCTCTTTGATTCAAATACATTTTTAATACAGTAGTTAGTTTTTCATGTGTTCTGAGAGCAAAGAAAATTCTGTTGAAAGATTTTACTCTGGAAAATTTTTGATATATATTGCAGAGAAGTGTCTGCTTTTCATAATAAATGAATGGCAACTCCATTTAGCTATTTAGAACCAAAGCAAGATTATTGGGAAAAAAATTGAGTTTGAATTGAATTTACAGCAAAAAGCATTATATTAGTCTCTTTTTATTAGTTGAAACCTACTGTGTGTTTTTAATTGTCAAAGGTTCATCCTACTTTACTTTACAATAGATAAGATTAATAGTTTGCATACTTTAAACTCCTCTAGCCTGAGGCACAAAACTTATATGTTCTAAACATGAGAGTGTGTGTTGAGTAAATATTGCTTTGCTGTGTTCTAGAACAGGTTTCCATTCATTTGAATATAATGAATTTAGGCAGAACAGGAATGGGCAGTTTATTTTTTTTTTAAAAAAAAAGACATCTCAAAATACCATAAGATATTGGAAATCCTTTGATTTTAAATATATATTTTCTATGCAAATTGAGATATATTTTTCCTCTAAACTATAGAAAATAAGGCTGTGCATACTTTGATTGGAAGGACTTCTTCAGCAGTTAAAAATTTAATCACAATATGTTGCTTAAAACCCTCTGATGAATACTCATTTCAGGATTTCATTTCACAAAACAATCAGCGTTTTCTCACAGCCACTTCCTGTCAATTGAAGTAAAAGAACAGATCTAAAGAACATGTTAGAACTGCTAACATGTTAGCACCATCAATTGTTGGCAGTTTATAATATTACTTGGCATTAGTTTTTCACACGTCTCTCCCAGACATCTTTGATTAAAACTGATTTATTTCACAATTTTTTCAAATATTGTGTTGTGGGATCATTTATATTCCACTGTTAAACTATTCCTTATTTGTTGATTATGTGCCCTAAAGCAGGGGTCACCAACCCCTGGTCTGTGGACCGATAACACAAAACCATGCACTCTCCAGTCCGTGGAAAAACCTTTCTCCATGAAACTGGTCCCTGGTGCCCAGAAGGTTGGGGACCTTTGCCTTAAAGTCATTATTATTTCTTACTGACTACATAGATAGATTTTCTTCATGATGATCTGTCCCTAACCTAGGACTAATGTCATGGTTTTCTTTTTTTCAAGAAAACCACACAGAATCCTACTTTAAATAATCCAGAGAGCCAGATCTTCCTTTTATCCCTCTAGTAACTATACATCAGTAAGTTGAATTTTTAATATGTAATACTTATTTTTGAACAGAATAAAAAATAGGATATGCTTTTGTAATCTAAGTAAATCCATGCTAATCCCCCCCCCTCAAAAGTTTGTTCATTTAAGAATTCCGTAATATGTAAAGGAGTTCTGCAGGGGGTAAATTGGTCAAATATTTAAAGGAATTAAAAGGAACTTTTGAGTAACAGCATATATGTGTACAATGCTGGGACACAAAAGATAATATTTTTAATTTTTGAAGAGTAAAATGGGTGGAGATGCCTTGAAATAAAACTGAAACATTGCTATTGAAACTCTGCTGGGTGGGTTGCTCAGTAATCTACTGACAAGGGTGTGTTTGTGGTATTGTATTGGGAATTAGTATTTTCGGTAGCAGAGGTAATGCACTTTTAATACACCCATTGCATTTAGTAAGTTTGTTTAATAGTAGACATTAATTGACACTAGACACATTAACTGACACTAGGAAAAGTAGAGTTTTATATATAGCATGCAGGAAAAGCCATTTTTAAAAATTAAACTTGTAATATTTAAATGATAAAATATTAGACTTCATTGCATGCAGCCACTCCTCACACTTCGCAAATGTAATTTTGCAACTTATCCATGGACCTTGCTAGCAGTTCTTCTGTATCACTCCTAGTTAGTAAGTTGCTTAAATCAAGCTGGAAAGATTTTTATTCTGAAAAATTGAACGACTGACAAGATACACTTGTGAGAAATGAGACAGAAGAGGGATCTTTGGTGCTCCCTGAACTTGATTGTTTTCTTGCAGACATTTCATTTCCCAAACCAGGTAACATCATCAGCACTAGTAGGGAGTGGGGTTTGCTCTCACTATATATTCTAGTGGCTTGCCCCGTCAGTGTTGGTGGAAGTAGTCTTGGAGGTTCTTTGCTTCAACTGTTTACTGCTATCTTGTTTGGCAGTTCCTTAATAGGGTATAGTTTACTTCTTGATTGATGGTCTAAGGCAGGGGTGTCAAACTTACAATGTCACATGACGTGTTATGACGTATTGTGACTTTTTTTCCATTGCTGGCAATGGGGTGGGCATGGTTTCAGCATGACGCATCCAGCCTGTGGGCTGGCAGTTTGACATCCCTGGTCTAAGGTTAATCTTGGTGTTAATCTCTGCTCATCTGGGAGCTGATTGCTGGTGGGAAGGTATTTGGTCTTTTTGTTCCCTTTTTTGGCTTGTTTATTGTCTCTTTTGCATAGAATGTAGATGTTGTTTATGTATCTATTGATGGCCAATTTGTCAGAGTGCTAGGCTTCCAGAAAAAAATAGAAAGATGGATGTTTCAGGAAAGAGATACATGCAGCTCACTCAAAATTTGAGCTTATAAATCAGCAGAGAGACATTTATAGTTCTCTGTTCCTACTACCAGCTGCTTCCTATGCATGAATAGATCTTGTTTGGGGGATTATGTGGGGTTGAGTGTAATTCTATGGTTATAATAAAGATACATCCAGACATGTCAGTTCTAGAGAAGTTTCAATCCACTATTTAAAATATCGTTTGGTAACTTAACTGCTTGTGATTGGCTCTAGAAGGAAGATGTTGTGAATACTTTTACATATGCTGTATATGTCCACCTCAGTTGTCCTAACAGTAATGAATCTGGATTTCTGAAACATGTTAAATTATCCTTTCTTCCCCTTTCTACTTAAATTATGGGTCTCTTTAAGACACAACTTTTGCAACTTGCTTCCTTCTGTAAATACCAACTGACTTATCTATCATGAAATGCCACTGCTAGGAATTGAAAGAATATAGTATTTAGCTTAAATGTATTAAAATGTTATTCCGTATGTGAGTAACATGTGACAGGAAGTTCATGGTTAACTTTGGATCAGTCATTCCTCTCAGGCTGGGATGTCAAAAAACAAACAAAACAAAAACCCACATCCATTTACCAACTCACAGTAGTCCAGCATGAAAAGACCTTTATCCTCCAGTAGGCTGATTCAGCAGATTTTCTAATCTGTACAAGATGATTTTATTGTAATCACCAGAGTCGCGAGAGTTGTTAAGAAAGTAATATTTTTGTTGGCAGAAATACTGTTGAGCAATTTGGAGAAACCGCTCTGTAAAAATGAAACCACACATGCCTTTTGATTATGTACACCTTTCCCTTTAATATGCTTTGTTAATGCTCAAAGGCATCACAATTTTGTCTATTTTTATCTCCTGCTGTGGTATGTGGTATGCATATGGCATATGGGTTTTGTGGCCAAGCTGGTTGTGGCTATGCAGGCACAAGTTAACAGAAAGAAAGGAGAGAAAGCATAGAGAAGAAACTCTGATATGGCTTTGGAGGGTCACTGTGCTGTCCCAAGGGCAGGCGAGCTGCCCTGACTGCTTCCCAGGACTATGGGTGGCAGATGGAGGCAGCCTGTTCATTGACCAGACCTAGAATATGGGAACTACAACCTTGGAGGGAAGCCTGTCTCCTCAGCTGCTAGAGGAAATGTGGTGGCCAAATTATTTACCACTGCATATAGTAACAGTGGCACAAATAGCCTTCGCTCAAAAATGGAAAGAGAAAGATACTCCAACCGAAGAGGAAATATTATTGAAAATTTCCAATTGCGCTGAAATGGATAGACTTACATGGGAACACAAGGACAAAAGTAAAACCAACTACTATAAAATTTGGGAACAATTTTATGATTGGATAGACAATAAGAGGGTAGCCAAGATAAATGTATAGTGCTAGAATAAAATATAGATTAGAGACAAATGTATATTTAAAAGACAAATAGATATATAGAAATAAGGGGAAAAGTGTTAATAGTATATTATACATAGTGAGCAAAGTTCAAGAACTATATGTCTATATGTGTATTAATAGTACTGTAAAATGTCGGAAGGCGTATGGAACCAGTGACGTCATATCTATGTCCAAATGTGTTTTTAATTTTGTATTATTAATTAAAAAAATATTTTAAAAAAGGAAATGTGGTGGCTTGAGCTGCAAACAGAAGGGTGGGGGTAGTTGAAGAGACCAGTTACTACATTTGAGCCTGTGATGCTTTAAGGCATCAAGGCAGAGAGTGGTTTTGGCCCTAGAAGGAGAAGAAAAGTGAAAAAACCCCAACAGAGAGGCTTCACTTGAACCTCAAGTCAGTCAGAAACAGAGGGAGGTGGTTGCCTGCAGACAGACACCTGGAATCGATGGGGAAACCCTAAATAGGGAAGGGCTGGGAGAAGAACCAAAGGAAGATGCATCCTGAAATCTCTACGCAACTGCCGATTTCCTTCCTATTTTTCTCTCTCAGTGATACACTGAGGGGGAGGGAAGAATAAGGGGAGAGTTGGTAGCTACTCAACAAAGCAGATGCTTACTAATGTACAGCTCTGAGAGAGAGGTAGAAAAGATTAGAAATGGAAAAGTTTGCAATCCCTGCTCTAGCGAGTTCTGTTTTTTCATTCAACAAAGACTGTAATGTGTGGTGAAATGCAACAAATGCTCTGGGCTGAGTCTGTTTCACACACCGACCCCAATGAAAAAATAGAAAAAGTAACAATCTACCCCTGTCTTTTTTTCTAGCTGGGAGCCTCCAGAAGTTGAGACTGCAACTCCAGCTACATTTTCAACAGTTCTGAAGGGATCCAAGTTAGGGAAGGCTGGCTTAGCTGCAGAAGGAGCAAACCCAGTAGTATCACAACATGATTGCCTTTCTTTAGGCAGAGAGTAATTGAGTAAAAATGAACTGCTAGGATTTCATGCAATATTCTTGGCAGTGATATGGAAATGGGTTGCCACTGGCTTTTTCCTCAGTGTTTTGACTTCTCTACCAAAGTTTGGATCTTTGATACATCTTTGTTCCAGTCCAAACACTGACTAAGTGTGCTAGCCAACCCTTCTTAGCTTTTCAAGGAATAAATAAATGTAGACAGGGGGGAGTCAACTGAAGACTCAGCACTGATATTCTAGGAAACATTTTATGAAACTTTAGAAAGTAATTTATCTTGCAGATTATTGGTGAGTTGCTTGTTAATGTGGTATTCTAGAATAGTTTTTGTTGCATTCAAGGTGAGGTTTTTTATGGGATTCTTCATATTAAAAAAAATCCTTGTAGCTCACAGTTATAATTCTTATAACCTATACATTATATAAATACATAAATACTTTCACTCCGTTATATAGAAATAAGTACATACTGTTGGTACAATTAAAAACATCTATCACAGTTGGCAACATAACCTTGAAATAGAATTGGAAAAGGTATAGTGAAATATCACTGTTTTGGTTCTTAATACTTGTAGATTATATGGGTATTGCACACATTTCCACATTTTCTTAGTATTGTCTTTTAAAAGACTGTAGAGTATATCCCATAGATCAGTGACTAAATTCACATTCTATTGTAAAGCACATTCTGGTAATTTCCTGGTAATTTCCACTAGGTGGAAACAGAATTTACTTTTGCTGTATAGCAACAGGCTACAATGATCTCCAATCTAGAGATTGTATCAGTATTTTTAGTTCTTCTAGAAACTAAAGTCTTGTTCTTATGCTGAAAATATCATATTGGAGAAATAAATTGCAATATTTCAAGATATCTCTAAAGTAACTATAGCTGCTGAAAATAAGCCCATTCTGTTCAAAACCTCCAACCAGACAAAACTATGACTGACATATGAAATATATGTCCCAAAATATTTTAACTGCTCCCTGAATTCACCAGAAATTGTGAATATCTTATAATTACCAAATTGGTCTTACAACCATAAAACTCACAAATAAGTATCTGTTACATACATTTGCATATAGTGTACACAGTGCACCCATTACATACATTTGCATATAGTGTACACAGTGCACACATGCAAAGAAATACTGTGTATTGCAAAATTAAATTATGAGGGGACCTGGGTGCTCTGAGCTGGTTGTTTTTTTTGCAGACGTTTCATTAACCAAACCAGGTAACGTCATCAGTGCTAATAGGGAGTGGGGTTTGTTCTCATTTTATATTC